GTTGCAATCCTACTCATTGCCCTGCTCCCTCCTCGTAGGATCCTGAACTCCACCATCTCATGGTCACTGCAGCCAAGGCTGCCCCCAACCTTCACATCTCCAACTAGACCTTCTTTGTTCGTTAGTACAAGGTCTAGCATTGCACCTCTCCTCCTTGGCGTCTCCACCACCTGAGTCAAGAAATCATCATTAATGCTTTGCAGGAACCTCTTTGACTGTTTGTGCCTAGCTGTGCTGTCTTGCCAACAGATGTCAGGGTGGTTGAAGTCTCCCATGAGAACCAGGGCCTGTGATCGTGAGGCTACTTCCAGCTGTCGGTAGAAGACCTCATCGATGACTTCCTCCTGGTCAGGTGGCCTGTAGTAGACCCCCACAACAGTGTCACCCATGTTACCCTGCCCTTTAATCCTTTAAAGGAAGCAAATGTGGACTAAAGATATCAGTGTGACACTTTATTAAAAAGTCTGAACATCATATAATTACATCCTGGTTTTATGTTCTGCTCTTCACTGGAGAAGGCCCTATCTGGACCTGAGCTGTGTCCAGTTCCAACAAAACTCTGAAACACATGGACAAACTGGAGAATGTCCAGAATGAAGACAGCTGGAAAACATGATTTCTTAGGAAAACTGACAGGTCTAGGTATGTTTAGTCTAGAGGAGGTTCTGGGTGGGGGAAGCCCGAGACAATACAGGCCTTACAACAACCTTCAGGTATCAAAAAGGCTTGCAGAAAATTGGTGAATCAAGCACAGGAGATCGATTCCTGAAGGACAGGTCAGTGGCTGGCTGTTAAACATGAGAGTCGGACTGTGACTCCATGGTCAGAAGGTCTCTAAATCAGATTTCCATACTGGTCATTCCTGACGTGGCAATTTTTATACTTCCCTCTAAGCATCTGCTACTGATCATTACATGAGTACTGTGCTAAGACAGATCTTCGCCATACTGGACTGGATCACTTCTGTTAAACCCATCTTTGCTTTCACAGCCAAACTGAAAAAAAAAAAATTCCTTCTGTTTCAATGTAGATCACAGCTGACATCAGATCTACATCCTGGCCAAGAGCTTCAACTCATGTAAGAGCAGTGATCCTACATTACTAAAGAAATGTAGCCTTTTTAGGGCTGAAGCAGATTATTCTTATTTCCAGGAGGAATCTGAAGCACAAGTAAATATACTAAAGCTGTCTTATGTTACTCACTTTGAAAAGCAATCCTTGTCAATAGCAAAGGTGCTCAGCCCTAGAGCACCGAGACTCTAGGGTCCTAAGAGCAGCACAGCTATTACTATGGCTGCTCCTGCGCACATAAGGTCCTTGGGCCCACCTGCAGCCTCAGGGAGACGCACTGTAGGGTCACATCTAAGCAGTCTTCATCACCTTCAGAGAAGCAAGAAACACTCTGTATTGAATATGAAAACTTAAACGACGCCAAAGCTAACACGACGTCTCTCCCTTGTTAAATGAGACTTCTTGACTATGGACAGCTCAAGTCTGGTAAAAGACAGTTTGCAAGGCAGACAGAAAAAGGACCAGAGTTTCAAAGCAAGCAAAAAGACGCTGAAGTTTTAGAACAACAGAGTTCCGTCACCTGTTAGGAAGTCTACTAGTCCCTCCTTTCCTTGCTGTGAGCAGAGATGCTTG